TCCTTAATAAAACACCCAAATGTAATATTAAGGCTAGGATCCAATCACAATATAATATAACTTAGAAGAGGTATGTCGTAATCTAAGCTATACATATTTGAAAGGTAGGTGAATGACGATTCACCAATTTCCACCACGAAAACCGAAATATTAGATATTAGGTTTTTATTGGTTTTAGAAATTCCTAGATTCTTTGAGATTCAATGAACTTTTCAAAGGCATGTTTCAATCTCGAGAGTGCCCTCCAAGTTTTGTGACTGGGATACCGAGGATCACAAAACGAGGTGTGAAGTAACCATGCAAATCACTTGGTACCCTTAAAGTTTATCACTCAATCGATGTGCCGGTAAACCACACACGCTCCACCGATACTATAATAAACCTTAAGTCACCCTTTACCTACCTTGTTAAGTCCAAGTTAGTGTGCCGGTTAACCACACACGCTCCACCAACGACTTAGACAAAGTGTAAAGTGTAATTTCATGGATTAGCACCTTATTCACATTTTCCTAAAGTAACTAAGATTGGGAATTTAATAAAACATTTAGTTACTTTATTATATTCATCATACTTTGAATGAGAATTTATAAGTCCTTGTCTTACCCGTTCGGCTAACGACCCTCCACCAGTCAAGCAAGCGGTGGGTGAGAGTAGACACCATTAAGTCACCATTTTATAGGCAACAACCTTATACCCACCTTATAGACCGGCTTCGTGAATGAGGCGTACTAGCGGTAAGACGACTTTGTTCTTATACATATATATATATAATTATTAAATCATCATAATATAAGTATAAGGATTGAATTTTAACTTTTAAAATTCTAAGGGTTGGAACTAAAGTTTTAACTTAACTTTACTTGTTCCAAAACTTGAGGGCAAGTTTTGTAACTTTCAAAACTTTTCATTTCTTGTAACTTATGAGTTTAATAGAGTAATAAAATGAAGACTCTTCATTTTTCTAACTCTTGTGTTCTTTTAATGGTTTTAATTCAAGTGTGACTCTTGGTTTTCCATAACTTGAGGACAAGTTATGGACTCCATTAAAACACATTATGATCAAGAATTAATCTACCACATAGGTTACAAATAATTCCTATGATCATCTAAAACATCATAAGAACAAGAACATGAATATGAACACATTCATAAATCAAAATTACACTTAAAACTTTGTAATTTTGATAACTAGTTGTTGTAAATGAATTAGAAAGAACATTACACCATCAAAACAAGTTTTCAAGTACCAAAACAGTTTAGGGTAATGTTTCTAGTCCATTTCCAGCAACTAAAGTCGAAATTCTGCAATCTCTCGACCCTACTCGCCGAGTGCATGAACTTACTCGCCGAGTTGGTTGAAGTTACACGTGAACTCGACGAGTCCCCCTATGGACTCGACGAGTCCATTCGTAGACAGCAAGATTTTCAACTTTTTTTCAACTTTTAAGCACAAATAAAAAGCAAACAAACCTGGCTCTGATACCACTGATGGGTTTTGAGCATTCTAACACTTCCTAAGTGTACATGCAACCCTAATAACCTTGGATCTATGTTTGTCTAATTATCATGCAAAGTTGAATTCCAAGGCTATATTCCAAACTAACATAGGAACAATTTTAATTTGAATGATAGATAGAATAACTTACCTTGTTGTTGCTTATGTTCCTTGAAACCTTATGAGCCTAGCACCCCAAGTGTGATGCCTCAAATGCTTCACACAACACCAAATGCTCTTGGAAAAACTTATGAGAGAATGCACACTTCTTGAAATCGGCCAAGCCCTCTTGTTTCCTTAGTGTAGCCGATTTTGGTGGAGAATGAGATCTTTATATAGTGTTGACACATCTAGGATTACACCATGTAAACCCTAATCGGCCAAGCCCTATACAAGATATGGATGATTTACATAATCAACTCATATATTTAATTAGTTCTCTTTTGACCACTTAATTAATTCTAAATTAATTATTGATCAAACTAATCAAATAATATTATTAATATATTAGAACTTATAATATATTAATAATCTCCAAGTGTTATTTCTCTCATTTAGTCTATCCAATTGCATGGTGCCATGCAACCCAAATGGACCATACCGGGTCGGGTCAAGTACATACCAGAAATAGTTATGGACTTAGACACCTTATCTAACAATACCTCCCTGGTACGCTGGGCGTACTCACCCGGCCACCCGCAACCTTCCGTCCCATTACGCTGGGCGTACCCAGCCACCTTACAAAACCAAAAGCATGCATGCATGCCATGCATGCACGGGACCGTGTCCTTCTTATTCCACAAGGGACTATAAACAATGATCAACTTTGAGGCACCGCAACTCCTCTAATCTAAACCCACCCTCAAATAACTTTGCATTCATACGAGGGTGACGAGAAGCCCAATACTTCTAACACATACATCCACCCGAAAACTTCTCGGATGAAACTCATTCCTTGAAAGGGACCATAATTACCTTTCTCTTAAATCTCAGGGACTCATAATTAACAGTTGAAAAACAGGGTGTTACAGATGACGAAGACTCCCCGATGAAGCTGTAAGTGCCGATACCACCTCTCTGCCATTCCCTTCTTCTCCTTCTCTTTTCTGTCACCGTTCACATCCACCCCCGACTATTGCCGATTCCATTTCGATCACTGCTCGCTTTGGAGCTCGTCCCACAGCAACTATCCGCCGTTAATCGCCACCTTTCTCCATCCTATGTTTACAACACCTTAGCCACGACCACCGTTGTCATTGGTTGAAGACGCACCTGCATCCGCTGCTGCCATTCATCGCTGCTTCTGTTGTGGCTGAAGAAGAAGATTGACATTGGGACGTCGAGAGTGAAGAGGGGTAAGCCATTGTCGCTGTTAACCGATGTTGTTTCCGCTCCGTTTGCCGCCCGTCACCTTGATGGTGGCTGATATGGGTTCGTGTTCTGAAAGAGCCCAAGTGTTCATGTGGGTGGTCGTTTATTGGCCAGAAACCAAGGAAAAGAACCACCATGGCCGCCTGCCATGGTGGCCGCCGCCTACTACCATTTTCTGTCACCACCAACCACCGTGGGAGGTGGCTGTGTGTGTGCTTTTCTATGTGATTAGGTGTGTGTGTGAGTGTACTATTGTTGTATTTCATTAAGAGTGTGTATGTGGTTTGTGTAAACTGAAAGCAAATGTGAGCTGTCATCACCACTGTGAGGTGGTGGCTGCCACCTCCAACCACCACCTTTCGCCACTGTGCAGCTGTGTGTGTGTTTTTTTATTAGCATGTGTGTGAGTGTTTTATGTGGATTGAGTTGTAACTTGTAAATGGTGCCCGGAATAATAATAGAAAATCCATAACCACCACCGTGAGGTGGTGGCTGTCGCCACCGGCCGCAATGTCAGGTGGCGGTGTGCTTTGATTGCGTTTGGACCTCGTTTGGGGATGTTTGGACAATGTCGGACCAATGAAACCCTAATGGGCCCAAAGAAACCCTAGTGGGACAATGGAACCCTAATGGGCCAATAAGGCCCAATGTGACCTAAAATCCCAACCAATGGACTAATTAACTAGTATTGGGTTGGAAAACCCTAAGGGCATAAAACCCTAACTTGTGGAAATTGATTGAGACACACACACGGGAATTATTTAATAAACTTGAAATATTAAATAATAATCATTGGCAAAATAACTTAAGGAAATAATGGACTTAATGGATTAAGTCCTTAATGGGTTAAGTAAGAAACACTTAACCCTAATCATCATTTCATGTGAAAACCCTAATATTGGGATTATGGGCTTGGACTTTGTGGGACCCACATTTGGGTCATTGGAATGGAATTGTATATTAAGCTGAATTACACCATATGACTTATTTACTAAAGTGAGGGACTTAATGGATTAAGTCCTTAATGGTTTAAGTGAGAAACACTTAACCCTAATTGTCATTTTATGTGAAACCCTAATTTCACTTGGGCTTGTGTTCGGCCTTTCCATTAGGCTTTGGTAATTGGATTATCAATGGATCATCCAAGAATGATCATATAAACTAGAATAGGTTGATGGGATTTAGGGTAAGCCCCAAATGAGGGGTTAGGACTAATTTGGAAAATTAGGCCATGAATGGACCATAGTTTGGGCAAGTATGATTATGTGATATTGGGTCATGGGAATACCAAGAGTTTGGACTAGAATAATTGAATGGGCCTTAAGGAAAGACGATGTAGAGGTTTGGTCCCAATTTGGAAAAATGGTTCATATGTTGGGCTTTGGCCCATTACTTGGATTTTGGGCTTTTGAAGTGTGAGTTGGACCTTGGGTTTCAAACCAATTATTAATTGGGTATTATTTAATGTTGACAGTTGGGCAAATTGTCAACCATCAGCTGGAGTTATATTTGCAGGACTTTAGTAGTATCAGGTGAGTTATCATCACTATATCAACAGGGTCTAAGGCACCAAGGTCGGCCCTTTATGGATTGTATTCGGATTATTGTATGATATGCCTACTAATTTACATTCTGCTAGTTAGGATGCTATGTTAGTGACCTGTTAGGTTGGTGTCCTGGTTATAGGATCATTGCTATGCTTGTGATCTGTTATATCGGTTTGACTGATATATGCATGCTATTGTTTGTATGTTATGCATATGCACATGATTGTTTATTTCGGGGTTGGGATCGAGAAAGAATCTCTTCTAAACGACCAAGTCATAATGAGATTAATTCTGTGAGAAAGAAAAACCAGTTTGTTAGAGTTGGTGTAACACTCCATTTATTATTTAATAAATAAATAAATAAATGAACGAATTGAAGCCCTAAAATAAATAATTATATGTCAAATGATGGTCTCGTAGAGCTAATTGTCACACTTTAAGAGATTGGGGTTAAAAGTGTAAAATCTAGACTTAATTTGTAAGCTTTATGAAAGATAGGGACCATTTCTGCAATTATGGGAAAGAGCATAAACAATCCAGGTATATAAACCCGTCACCCACGGATTTAACCCTAACCCTACTCACATATGATGCAGCCGTCACTCCCACTTACTCCACCTCCGGCGCCGCTCCTACCTCCGACCACCCAACACTGTCAATTGATCCATGTCGCCGATTCGTGGCCTCTAGTCACTGTTGTCTGCCATCTCATGCCACCTATCTTCTCCATTTCTTGTTGCCGGCACTGCTTCGTTCATGGTGGTCTCCGTTTCTCAGTCACGACCACTGCCGCTACACAGCTCGATTCAGTTACTCAAGTCGCTGCTTTAGCTATTGCATATTGTCGCCGTGGAGCCACTGTCATCGCAAATCACCGCCGCCAGCTGCCAACCCTTCTTCTTTCGCCGGTGTTTCGTTCATGCTTTGACCACCATCATTCGTCGCCGTTGCGTTTGCTGCCGATGAAGCGAGAGTTCGAGCCCTGCTGTGGTTGCTAGGACTATTACTACCGTCGTCGTATGCCATCGTGAGGTTGGTGGCCATTTCCATTTCCGAGAAAAAGATGTGTATTATGTGCGTGTTTTGGTGCGTGTTCCAGTATTCAAGTTGTGCTTTGCATCCATGGGTTGTATGAGTGACTTTGGCCGGAAAACCCACCGCCACCATGTACCGCCATATGTGTGTGTTTATCTTAGTGTGTGGGTGTGTGTTTATTTGAGTTTTTAGCATTGTAATTTGTATCAAAAATAGAATAATGGAAAGAAACTCGAAACCACCACCGTAGGGTGGTGGCTGCCGCCACCGACCGCCGTGTCGGGTGGCAGTGTGTCTTGCCTCGTCAAGTGTGATTCGTTTGGGGTGCTTGAAACCCTAATGGGCCTTGTTACGCTAATGGGCCCAATGTATCCAAATGGGCTTAGTGAAAACCCTAATGAGTCTAATGGACTCTAATTGACCAAATAAAACCCTAGTGGGCTTAACGATATTCTAGTGGGCCTAGTAGGCCCAATAAAGCCCTAATGGACCTAAAATCCCAACAAATTGATAAAGGGGCTAATATTTGGTTGGAAAAAAAACATAATGCAAATAAAACCCTAATTTGTGGAAATTGTTTGGGACACACACGAGAATTAATTATTAAATCTTAAATAATAATTAATAATCATTGGCAAACTAGCGTAAGGCATAATGGACTTAATGGATTAAGTCCTTAATGGGTTAAGAAAGAACCATTGAACCTTAATCATCATTCCGTGTGAAAACTCTAATTTGGGATTATGGGCTTGGACTTGTTGGGACCCACATTTGGGCCATTGGAATGGAATTGTGTGATTAAGCCCAATCACACCATATGACTTATTTAGAAGAATGGACTTAATGGATTAAGTCCTTAAAGGAATAATTCCTTAATGGGTTAAGTAGGAAACTTAACCCTAATTGGCATTTCATGTGAAACCCTAACTTCCCTTGGGTTTATTGTTGGACCTTTCTATTGGGCCTTGATGATTGGGCCATAGATGGACCATAGTTAGGCCCTAATGATTATATAATGTTGGGCCATAAGACCACATATAGGCCTGGGCCCAATTTGGAAAATTAGGCCATATGCTGGGCTTTGATTCCTGGTTCGCTTTGGGCCTATGGTTTGGGCCTTGGACTTGAATAATGCCAATCTTAGGGTAATGTAGTAATTATCCAAGTATGTATTTATGGTTATGTGTTGGGACCCAATTATTAATTAGGTGTTATTTTGGTGTTGACAGATCGGGAATCTGTCATCCAGCAGTTGGGGTTGAGTCTGCGGGACTTCAGCAAGTGTGGGATTGTGTCTTCAGGACTTCAGCAGTGTGAGGTGAGTTACCTTCCAGTAGCGGTGGGTCTAAGGCCACATGTCGGCCCACCAGTAGGAGATGTGTGATTAGATGATTGTCTTTGTGATATTCATCTAGGGTTGCTACTACCTATGTTATGTTATGTGTTAGTGACAGTAGGGGGAGATAATCCCCCAGAATACCGGTCGATAGGGCCGAAGGGGCGGTTATGCCCAACCATGCTAGATAAATTATGTGATACATGTGTTATGTGGTAGTAGTAGGGGTGAAATAGTCCCCAATATCCGGTCGAGAGGACCGAAGGGGAGGCCAGCACCCAGATATGCTAGGCAGTATCCGGTCGAGAGGACCGAAGGGGAGGCCAGCACCCAGATATGCTAGGCAGCATCCGGTCGAGAGGACCGAAGGGGTAGGTCGGGCACCCAGATATGCCTGACAATATATGTATGTTATGTGATTATATGGTATGTGGTATGATGGGGGAACTCACTAAGCTTCGTGCTTACGGTTTTCAGTTTTGGTTTCAGGTACTTCGTGTTTAAAGGAAAGGAGTCGGCTTGATCGCAGCGCATCACACTATGGTTTTCCGCACATGAGATCTTTGGGATTACACTCTGATATTATTTTATGATAACATGTTTGATTATTTCTACTTTGGTTTTGATATGACATGGTATTACGGATGTTTTATTACACTGTTGGTTTTATGATGACGTATTTAAAAGTAAAATTTTTGGCCTGTATTTTTGGGATGTTACAGTTGGGGTAGAGAAGCAATCAACAGAATGGGTCCCTGTTGTTGAAGCGGTCCTGCTTCGTGTTGTAGGCCAACATACTCGGGGCAGTCTGGATAAGCTGTAGGCCTTGAGGAGGCGGTCCAGTCAGGTCGAAGGCCTGACAAGCGGTCCAGATAGGTTGTAGGCCTTACGAGGCGGTCCAGTCATGCCTAAGGCTTGGGAGCGGTCCAGATAGGCTGTTGGCCCTGAGGAGACGGTCAAGTCATGTTGAAGGCTCATTATACATGATGTTTGTTATTATGTTGCTGAATGGTATATGTTGGTATTTTGGGGGTAACTCACTAAGTCTTCGAGCTTACATTTATCGATTATTATTTCAAGTACTTCTGATGATCGTTGGGAGGCGAAGGCGTGATCATACAACTCCTCATATTTCATGGTTTTATGATTTGATTATGGGGATACTCTAATGTTTAAATTATTTTGAAAACAAACTGTAATAACTTAATGGTTTTAAATATTCTAAAAAGTTTTAAATTGGATTGAATTTTATGGGTGTTATAGGAACTCACTAAGCTTCGTGCTTACAGTTTACAGTTTTGGTTTCAGGTACCTTCAGTTTTGAGGAAAAAGGAGCTCGGACGATCGCAACGCATTCACCCATGTTATTTTGCATTATGTGATCTTTGGGATTAAGCTTTGATATTTTTTTTAAATTAAATGTTTTCAATGTCTGGAACAAAGTTATTATCGGTCTCCTTAAAAATGAAAAAAAAAATTAGCCTTGAATTTTGGGATGTTACAAGTTGGTATCAGACCCTTGGTTTGAGGGATTCGGGCACACCTTCAAGGGTGTCTTAACTCAAATCGAGGGCTTGAAGGATTTTTACAAGAAAAATAGTTTTCTAAAATTTATAATAAGGAGTTTTGTGAAAGAACAAGGTTTGTGATGCATGCGATCGACCGAGCTCAAGTAAGTTTTCCCCAAGATACCCATACATGTTATATTATGTTATATGATGTGATTATGAGAACTGCATGCTAGATTAGGGCTAAGGATATAGGAAGGATACCTTATATGCCTGTTGTATGAGTTTATTGAGTTATATGCTAGGGCTGGATAATCAGCAGTACGATAGCCTGATTAGGTTACGCTTGATAATGGTTACTCAATGCATGAATGTTGCTTGTTTTGTGCTTATAGGGGTTCCAGATGGCTTTAACTAACTAGTAAGCGAATATGTAATAGTATTCGTAAGCTAGTTAGGGGAAGATGGTAGGGACTCCTTGTGCAGCTGATGGCAGAGAGTTGGTCGGAGAGTAACCTAGGACAAGCCTAGGATGAGATTAGTTGGAAAACTGTATTAGTAAAAGGGACCTGGTGAAGTCAACGCAATTCTTGAGGAAAGTACGGATAAATGTGGAAGGTAGTATGGGCCCGTGCTACTAGAAGCAGAGTATCCGTACTCAAATCAAGCAGGGCTGAGATAGAACCAGAAAACTTGGATAGTGTGTGGGACCTCTCGAGAGTATGTATGAACCTAAAATCATTGTGTTTATTTTTATTATGGTGATTACGCGACATGGAGCAGGATCTGAGTTAAGATCAGGGTCAGGATCAGGTGCAAGATCCGAGGAGGTTGATGATGGGCTACACGAGTCATCGCGTCTGAGATCACAGGAGGTATCCTTTAGGCAACCCCGGTCATTTTTGGGTCAATTAAGGAGGGGATTATCGAGTTGATGGAGGATTGCCTCCGGACACTCATGTGTGACTTGGCGTCCAGCCAGTCGAGTACGCGCACACTGTTCTTCAAGGACTTCAGGGGGAGTGGTGCGCCAAACTTCCACGGGGTGAATGACCTTATTGATGCCAGGAGAT